GTGGGCCTATTTGGATTCTGGACACAGCACATTCCCCACTTGGGTGTTACTCTGGCCCATATACCAAGTGATTGGGAAAGCTGCTAGCTTTGTGTGGGCTCTGGAACAGAAGGCTCTTCAACAGGTCCAGGCTGCTCTGCAGGCTGCTCTGCCACTTGAACCATGTGATCCAGCAGCCCCAATGATACTTGAGGTGTGGGTGGCAGACAGGGATGCTGTTCAGAGCCTTTGGCAGGTCCCTATAGGTGAATCACAGAAGAGACCTCTGGGATTTTGGAGCAAGGCTCTACCATCATCCGCAGACAACTATTCTCCCTTTGAGAGAAAGCTCTTGGCCTGCTCTTAGGCCTTAGTGGAAGCTGAATGTTTGACAACAGGCCTACCAAGATACCATGTGACCTGAGCTGCCCATTATGAGCTGGTGTTGTGTGACCCATCAAGCCATGCACAGCAACAATCTGTTATTAAATGGAAGTGTGGTGTGTGTGTGCCCGCAAGCGTGCGTGCGTGCGTGCGTGTGTTAGGGCCCAAGCAGGTCCTGAAGGCGCCTGTTATAAGAAAGTTACATGAAGAAATTACCCAAATGCCTATGGTTTCTACTCCCAATATAGTGCTGTCTGCTGCTAAGCATGCACCTATAACCCGGACCGGGTGTGTGCCAGACCAGTTGACCAGGGAAGAGAAGAATAGGGCCTGTGTTCTCCACCATCATGGTATTCCACACAGTATTGCTTCTGACCAACGAGCTCACTTCACAGCCAGAGAAGTGTGACAGTTGACCCGCAACCATGGAATCCACTGGTCTTACCATGTTCCCCACCATCCTGAAGCAGTTGGCCTGATAGATAGATAGGTGGAATGGCCTTTTGAAGACACAGTTACAGGACCAGTTAGGTGGCAGCAGCCTGGAGAGGTGGACAGGGTTCTCCAGGAGGCAGTGTATGCTTTGAGTCAATGTCCCATATATGGTATGGCTTCTCCCATAGCCATGATCCAAGGGTCCAGAGTCAAGGGGTGGAAAGGGTGACAGCTCCACTCACGATTACCCTTAGTGAACTACTAGGAAAAAATAGTCTTCTTGTTCCCATGACCTTACATTCTGCTGGCCTAGAAGTTTTGGTTTCAGAGCAGGGAGCATTCCTGCCAGGAGACATAACAAACATCCCATTGAACTGGAAGCCCAGACTTCCCCTGTCCACTTTAGGCTTCTAGTGCCTTTAAGCCAACAGCTCAGAAAGGAGTAAGTGTTAGGAGATATGATTGATCCAGATTACCATGGGGAAATTGGATTGCTTCACCACACTTGAGTTAAGAAAGATTGTGTCTGGAGTCTCTTGGTGCTAACATGTCCAGTGATTAATGTTACAGGGAAACTACAACCTAATCCAAGCAGGAATTAGACCTGCCTTCACGAATGAGGTTATGGGTCACTCTTCCAGAAAGAGTGAAGACCCACTGAGGTGCTTGGTGAAGGTGGAGGAAATACAGAATGGGTAGTAGAGGAAAGTAGTTATAAATATCAGTTAATACCACGTGACCCATTGCAGAAACAACTCTGTGTACTTGACATGCGTGTTTCTGTTATAGTTTGTTAATGGTATGTTTGTACAGATATTTGTGTTTCCTTTATCACATAATATAGCATCAATTGAGAGATGCAATTTTACTTGTGAGATTCCCAAAGAATGTTTCTCAAGGGACTTTGACACTTATTCTAAAATTTGAGTTGTGTGAGGGATAGTTGTATCATGTTAGGTGTAGTTAGGACCTGGCTAAATATACAATGAATTTGCAATTGTACATGGGATAGTTAGACTATGTTAGATGGAATTATGACCTGCTTGTTGTTTTCACTTGGAAATTAATCATGACATAAGGCTGGGGATACCTGTGAGGAACTCTTTCTCTTAATTTCATCATTTGAAGTGGGAAGACCCTTTTTGTTACTGGTCAAGACAGGGTTTCTCTCTGTAGTTTTGGAGCCTCTCCTGACACTCACTCTGTGTGCCAGGCTGGCCTCGAACTCATGGAGCTCTACCTGCCTCTGCCTCCTAAGTGTTAGCACTAACCGCATGTGCCACTATCACCAGGCTGGGAAGACCCATTTTTTAATACTGAATCTTTTGAGGTAGAAAGATCCAGCTTTAGTCTGGGTCCCTCCTTTTCATGGCAGCCTTTCCCCCTCTCTCTCTGCCTTCTTGCTCTCCCTCTTGTTGGCAAGTTACTTATTCATTGGCATTATGGCCTACTTCTGGCATATACTGAAGACAGCTGAAACATTCAGCCTTGTGGACTGAACAACTACTGGATTCTTGGATCTTCCGTTGGTAGATAGACATTGCTGGACTAGCTGGATCACAGCCTATAAACCATTCTAATAAATCCTCTTTTTAAAATTTGTTTTAATTTAAACTAAAAACAATCTTATTTTACATGCCAATCCCAGTTCCCTCTCCATCCTGTCCTCCCATTCCCCCCACCATCCACTCCTCAGAGAGGGTGAGTCAAAGTCTGTCATATCATTTGGGGCAGGACCAAGCCCCCCTCCTCATGTCTAGCCCGAGAGAGTATCCCTCCATAGGGAATGGGCTCCAAAAGCCAATTCATGTACTAGGGATTAATACTGGTTTCACTGCCAGTGGCACCATAGACTGCCCAAGCCCCTCAACTGACACCCATATTCAGGGTGCCTGGTTCAGTCTTAATGCTAGTTCCCCAGCTGTCAGTCTAGGGACTGTGAGCTCCTACTTGCTCAGGTCAGCAGTTTCTGTGCATTTTCCCGGCATGGTCTTGACCCCTTTGCTCATCACTCCTCCCTCTCTATAACTGGACTCCAGGAGTTTGTTGGCTCAGTGCTTAGCTGTAGGTCTCTGCTTCTGCTTCCATTAGCTACTGGATGAAGTCTCTAGGATGGCATATAAGGTAGTCATCAATCTCATTAGAGGGTCTACCTCCAAAATATACAAAGAACTCAAGAAGCTAGTCACCAAAACACCAAATAACCCAATTAAAAATTGGGTGCATCTAAATAGAGACTTCTTAATAGAGAAATAGAGGCAAAAGTGTGTGTGTGTGTGTGTGTGTGTGTGTGTGTGTGTGTGTGTGTGTGTGTGTTTGTTCTGTAAGTTTAGAGAACCCTGACTACTACACATGACCCAATAATCTGATGCCTGGCTATTTACCCAAAAGAAATAAAAATGTATTTGTGATTTGAATATTAACTTGATAGACTTAACATTACATAGAAGAAAAGCTGCCTCCAGACACACCTGTGAGGGATTATCTATATTAGGTTAACTAAGGTGGGCAGACCCACCCTGAATGTGATGACATTCTTCAGCTTGCTAGTGCATAAAGACTAGCTAAGCATGCACACTCATCTCTGCTTCCTGGCCAAGGAGTCACCATGACCAGCTCCCTCAGGCTTCATGCCTTCCAGGCCATGATGGACTGAACTGTGAGCCATAATAAACATTTTCTCCCTTAAGTTGCTTTCGTCCCAGCAACAAGAAATGCTTGCATGTATGCCCATAGCAGCTCTAGTCACAATCACAAAGCCTGTGAAAATCTTCAGGAGCTGAGCAGAGGGTGGAACTCTCACAGTGTGTAGCAACAGGAGAAACAAGCTTGATAAGTGTAACAATTGCAGGAACCTCCAGAGCATTTGCTAACAGAGGCCAACAACAGCTTACATAAAGTGTAGCTGCACGTCTACAATGAATTTCAGGGGCAAAGCCCGTCATATATACCAGTGTGCTTTAAGGCGAGTTTCTGGTGGACAGAGCTGTTGCATACTTGATAGTAGTGGCAGAAGTGTCCATTCTGTGTGTGTGTGTGTGTGTGTGCGCGCGCGCTCGTGCGCGCTCGTGCTACAACTCACAAAAACTATACTAAGACTCCACTTTATTGAATGTTAATCTTTAAAATACTTGTTAATATGGTGACTGATCTAGGAGGCTCTCCTCCACCAGTGCTGAGGAAAGCAGGGAGAGTGGCAGTAGGTGGGCAGTAGGCATGAGGGTGCCTGGGGATGTGAGGGAGCAGAGGACGCTGTGATGAGCCCAGTTCAGTGCTTGTGCGGCAGAGGTGAAGGGGTTGGTCACCCAGGGTCCGGAAGCAGGGACAGGAGGTGAACTGGGAAAGTGGGGGGAGGTGTAACTGGAGGGGGACAGCTGAGACTGGGAGAGGTGACCGAAATGCTAGAGCCACAGGACCTGTGGGGACCGCAGGTTTGGAACTGCTGCAGGGGCATCAGAAGCAGCAGAGCGATGTGTCTTCAAGAGACAGGACCAGCGGCGGACAACTCAGGACAGCAAGCGTTCTCAGCTGCTGCCCAATGATCCTGCTGGGTTTCAGTACTGCTGCCAGACTGGGCTGTATAGTGTCTGTCCTAGGAACCAGCCCTCCCAGAACTCACTGCTGGGGCGTGGATGGATGCACAGGGGATTGAGGGAGGGCAGGCCAGGCTCGGCCAGGCTGGTGGGGGGGGGAGAAGCCAACAGCTAAGAGTGGAAGAGGAGGCATGTGGAGCTCTGACCCTGGGGCTGTGCTGCTTATGGAGTCTGGTGCCCGGCTCTGTGGGTGGTGGTGCCCAACAGCCCCAGCACTGGAGGCTTCTAATCGGGCCACTTCCTTCTCTGGGGGTAGAACAGCCCTCAGTCAGGCTTCTTGCTTCTGTGCAATACCTCACAGCCAGAATTATATTTCCATGTCAGCTCAGCACATGGCAGGGTCTCTTTTCTAGGGTACCCTGCAGCAGACAGCAACTACAGCTGGACAGCAAATGGGCACACCAGGACTACAAGACTCCAAACTCTGCCACAGTTCCGTGATGGACAAACTGCTCCGAGCCCCTCGCCGGAGGAGTGTGGAGGTTGAAATCTAATTCAGGGTCATATCTTGCCAATGTTCCAGCAGCTGAAAATTCCATCTGTGTACATGAGGCCATGGGGTGGAAGCCCACTTTCTGTCCAGAAACATCCCTGCTCAAACGTGAGGTAACCCCTCATTTTTTGTGGATGGTGGATGTGGTAGCCAGCAGGCAGGATCAGGCATTTCTCTGCTCTGGAGGAAGGTACTTGAGGCCCAGGAATCTGAAAATGTCTTCCTCAGAAGTTGCATGGAAAAATGTCTTCTGCAAGGAACAAGAGGGTAATGCTGGAGCCCAGGCCATGCTTCCATGCAATGTAGCTGGGGGCAAGGCATGTTACTGTGCAGTGTAGCTGGGACCATGTCATACTACCTGGCAGTGTGCGTTATATTTGAGATTGTGGACCAGGATTCAGGTTATGGCAACTTTTTTTTACCCTAGTTCCTGGCAACTTACCCGCTCAGGATCAAAAAGACTATGGCTGTTCAGCCACAGCCCTTTCTCCTGCCGACTGAAACGCCGTAGCTCCCGCTCAAAAAGCTGGGAAGAGACGGGGACAACAATTACTTTTAGCAGGGTTGACCCATCCTAGGTCCAGGCCCCCCAAGGAACACATGACCTACCTGGGAGCCAGTCCAGCCAAGAAGAGCAAAGGGGAACTGGCTATTGGGAGTGACCACAAGATCTACTCTCACGGCTTTCCGTGTTGGACAGGGATGCAGGGCCCCCGCTGAAGCTGCATGTGGGGATTGGGGCAAGCCCAAGATGCAGAAACTCCTTTCAAAAGCATCCATGGTGTAGTTCTGCCGCAGGAGGTGGGTAGAGTCTAAGTGGCTGCGATGGTACTGGTGATACAGGACAAGTCCCTGCGAGAAGGGAGGCAGGTGTGGCCACGTGTGACCACCGTTCTGGGCGGGTAGAAGGCTGGTCGGTGGTCAGTCCTGGGCAGGGCACTGGAGGCCCTCACCTGGCTCTGTAGGTGGCTCATCACTTTGGGCAGCAGCCCCACTTCTTGGCCCTCCTCAGGGTGAGTGATAAGGAAATCCACATCATGACCTTGTAACTTCCCCCTGAAAGAGAAACTTTGATTCTCAGTCCTCGGCATGGAGTCACGTTCCTTTCAGTGAGTGGAAAAGGCCACCTCCGTGTCCACAACTCAAGTCCCTACCTCCGGGAAGAGCCTAGCATACACTTGCAAGGCATGGTGGGCCCTCTTACCTCCGGAAACCGCCAGTCAGTGTGACAGTGGCTCCAGGCAAGGTTTGTCTCACGGCTGCCTCCACCAGTTGCTGCAGAGCCTCAGCATCAGCTCGACCAACTGGGGTGCTCAGGTCCTGGTAGTACTGAAGCCCTGTGGGCAGCACAACTCATCTTCCTCATGGAGCCTCCCCCCCCCCAGCACACAGCAGCCACCACAGCCCTGCGGCTGGAGGAAAGGCAGAGGGAAAGGTTGGAGCCATGCAGATGGAGTTTCTGTCCCACCTGGTCCCACAGGTGTTTAGCCCCAAATAAACACACAGAGGCTTATATTAATTATAAGCTGTTTGGCCAATGGCTTAGGCTTTTTACTGGCTAGCGCTCTTTTATTTATTAACCCATTTCTATTCATCTAAGTATTTCCACATGGTGCTGACTTACTGGAGAATGCCCGGACCTGTTACTCCTCCAGTGGCTACATGGTGTCTTTCTGGCAGCTTTGCTATCCTCCTCCTTCCCAGCATTTCTAGTTTTGTAACCCTGCCTATACTTCCTGCCTGGCTACTGGCCAATCAGCATCTACTTACGAACCAATACAGAAGGACATCCCCCACCGGGGCTGGAGCAGAGATCCTATACATGATCCACTTCTCCTTTTAAACTTACATTCTTATTTTGGGATAACTAGATTCACATGCAATTGAAATGAACAAGATCCTTTGTGCCCTTTACCCAAATCCCCCACAAACATAGTATCTTATAAAACTCCAGTAAATTAGTTTGAGACAGGCAGTCTATATATAGAGTTCCAGGCCAACCAGGACTACATACCAGAGAGCTGGGGCAGAGAGTTTGTTTAACATATGCCTTATAAGGCCCAAAGTTCAATCCTCAACACCACAACAAAGCAAACAAACGAAAAAATTTTTCAGAGTTACATGGGACAATGAAGCTAGCAATGGCAAGATGCAGGCAGCCCTTTTAAAGTTTTAGATTCTCCATGAATCAAAGGCAACCAAAAGGTGGTAGAAGTTGTGATGAAGATGGGTCTGCGACTAGCCTCCTCTCCTTTGGCCTGTTCTGTCTTCTTGCCAGGCAAAGGGGCACTGCTGTACCCTCCATGCTCAGTTAGGGAGGTTTAGGCATGAGGAATTATAATGCCTAGCACACACCTGCCCTGGGGAGAGAAACCAAAGCAGGCAGCACCCCAGAGAGGCCACTGGCAGGCCATGGCGCCCTTCAGCAGAGTCTCCAGCCAAGACCACTAGAACGACCAGGCAGGCTACACAGACCAAGTGTCTGCTCACCACCTACTGGCTTCCAGAAGCACTTCCATTTTCTCTGTGTTTTCCAGAGGAGCTAACCAAGACTCAGAGAGGTTAGTCTTGAAGTCATGGTTACATACCTAGCAAATAGAGGAGAGAACTCAAACTAGGTGCAACAAATCTAAGGTTTCTACTATTTCCACTCGTGGAGGCACCCATACCACAAACCGTACACACCTGGTAGCACACTGGACAGGTTGGCCCAGACCAAGGCTGTCCCCAACACAATTGAAATCAAGCAAGAGGAAACATGAGGCCTGGGCTGTGGCAATGCTATGACAACAATCACTGAGAGGGAGGCAGAACCCTCTGCCCCAGCTGCTCCCCAGCACCCAGGAAGTCCGCATGCTGCGCAGCAGAGCTAAAGGGTTCACTGTGTAGAGCTCTCAGATCCAGGCAGCCCTGGGACGTTTACCTGCTTTCTGCTGCTGGGTCAGTCTCTGCGGCTGCTCTCTGAGCTCCTCCAGGGTTCGCAGTCCTTCCAGGTACCACCGGTTGGCAGTCTTCACACCGACCCCAAAGACTTGGGTGAAGAGCTATGTGGAAAAAGGGATGGATAGGTCAGAAGCAAAGTCCATGGAAGAGTTCCCTGAGAGTGTGGCTTCATGCCCAGTGACACAGGACCAGGGCCCAATCCTAGAGTCTGGCTTACCTAAACCACGCTCTCAGGAGCCTGAACCCACATACCCTGAGAATAGCCCTCATAGGGACAGCAGATTTCAGCTGCCCAACTACCAGAAAACTTCAGGAAACTTCACCCCTTCTAAAATGTCTGTCCCCTTAACGCACAGGCCCAGCCTAAGCTTACAATAGACCGAAAGAGTTATCCAGACATACAGGCTCACCAGGTTTTTAGTTCACTGGGAGGACACCTCCGCTTACTGCTGCTGGGTCTTACCATGTGTTCCCTTCAGCAGCAAAACCAAGGAGGAGTGAACAGAGAGGGTGGTTTCAACAGAGGCACTGGAGGCCTGACTAGCTTCTCCCACAGCAGGTATGGAGAATTTGCTCTCAAAGATTCAAATACCGCATCACCCATGGAGCCTTTGCCTGCTTTGGGCCAATCACTGAGACTCTCCCCAGGAATTTTAGAATGAGAGTAAGGGCAGCCTGCACGGTAGTGGAGGGCAGACACATGGTCCAAACCCCTCTGTAGCTATGTCTCCTAACAGTGGAGGGTACCCATCTGTGTGAGGAGGATGGAGGCCAGCTGTGGCCATGCATGCCTGTCACCCAGCACTCAGGAGACAGATAGATGCAGGAAGATCTAGAATGCTAGGGCAGCCTTGAATTATAAGCAAGACCCTGATCACAAACAAACAAAATGGAGCTGCCTTGTAGAAGAGCAGTCTTGGCCCTGTCTTTACTGGGCTTTCCTCAGTCCTGTTTTCCCTGACTCTCTGCACTCACAGTGTTAGGCAGACCACTGTCATTGCAATGGACAGAACCTGCTTTCAAAAATCTGGTACTAGCTGGGCAGTGGTGGTGCACGCCTTTAACCCCAGAACTCAGGAGGCAGAGGCATATGGATCTGAGTTCAGGGCCAGCCTGGCCTACAGAGCAAGGACAACCAGGGCTGCACAGAGAAATTCTGTCTCAAGAAAACAAAACCCAAACCAAAAAGATCAAGAACTACTCTTGCAAAGGACCTGAGTTCAATCCCATGTCAGGCATCTACATCTCCAGGGTATGTGTTACCTCTGTCCACCTCACTCAAATGTATATGTACATAAACACACAGATGCACATATTCCTACATGTGCACGCATATATGTAAGTTAAAGAATGAACCTACAAAAAAATAATCTGAATATGGCAGTGCATTGTTATCTCAGCATTTGGGAGATGAGGGTAGGAGGAAAGTGGGCCCAGCTAGAGTGTGTTCCAGCTCAGCTTGGGCTGTGTGAGACATAGTCCACCAAGACCAAGACCAAATGAACAAAAAGTCTAGCACTTAGGAGACTTAGGTCAGCCCGCACTACAAAGCAAAACTACCTCAAAACAGGTAGGCAGGCAGTGAAGTTTTGAGTTCCATCCCTGGACCTCTAACCGCCACGTGAGCCATTGTGTGGGCCTTCCCACAAATAAATAAGCAACATTTTTAAAAATTAAAACTAAGTGGTGGTCATACACCTTTAATCCCAACACTCGGAGGCGGGTGGATCTCTGTGAGTTCAAGGTCAGCCAGGCCTACAGAGCAAATTCCAGAATAGCCAAGGCTTCACCTTGCCTTGAAAAATCAAACAACAAAAATAACACAAAACAAAACAAAATAAAAACAAAAAAAGTAAAATACCTAGCTAACAACTACATTATTTATTTTTACAAGTGGGAGGTCCTCAGGCATATAATCTCAGCACTTGGGAAGCAGAGGCAGGAGGATTGCTTTGAGTTTGGGGCCAGCCTCAGCTTCAGTATGATGAAGTCTCAATCAAGCCCCTATCCTGGAAAAAAATTCTAATTACTAATACAATTTTCTGCTGGTATGGACATTTTCTTGGACATTGGGGTGCCCAGGAGGCAGAATGGAGAAGGACCCCTCTGACATCTTTCAGGGTTTCTCTTTCTCTTTTGCTCAGGAAACCTCACCGTGGCTGGGACTAAGACTGATGGAGAAACAATTCACTTACCTATGTCAACATCAACATCACTTCAGCTCAGACTCTATCCCTGATCTCCGCAGAATAGCCAGACCCAGGTCCCTTGGCTAGAGGATACTTCCAGGCCCTCCCCGATACTTTTGACAGTTTTCTGTGCAGTGTTCCATGAGCCTCACCATGAGCCTCACCCTCTGGGGAGGCCACAAATCTCAGGCCACTGATCTGACAATCTCCAACTACAAAAGGAGAGGCAGAGGGTGCCAGAGCAGATAAAGCAAAGGACCCAGGTGGCTTCCATATCAGGTTAGCAGTGAGCAGGCACAGGTACAAGAGCCCCATACAAACAGGCACCAAGAGCCTGCGGCCACAGAGGCAGCCCCCTCCACGTCCTAGCGCACATATTTTGTTCAGTGTGCTCTTTAATACATCTGAGAATATTCCATCAAAAAAAGGTGATGCAAAAAATTCCCAATGCTCAAAACAGCCTCTGCCTGCTCTCCACGTGGCAGCCTGGTGCCCATCAGGTGTCAGGTTAGCTGCCATTTCTTAGTGACCTACTATCACCCCAGGGCTGGGTGAAAAGGCCTTTGCTGGCTGCTTGCTTATGCTGTGGAATGTGCTGTGCACACCTGCCAGGGTCCTAAGCCGCTCCCTCCCCCAACACACACCTTCATGGTCTGGTGCCTTTCTGAGCAGCGAACCTGTTCCACCTCCTCACATGTTCCATGTTCCAGCAGCTCCTGGGACAGGAGACAAACAAAACTCTGAGCCTGAGAGTGAGGCTGTTCCCTCCATACTCTGCAGAGAGACTCTGTGGCGTCAGGAACCAGTAGTACTTGGAAATGGAGACTGTACCCAGGGAGGTAACCAAAATGCAAGGCCCAGCTGGAGTGGCGGCTTCTCCCGCCACAAAAGCTCTTCAGGGCTGGAGTTATAACAGTCAATGGGACCTGTGCTAAGGCTCACTCCTCATGAGTTCCAATGTCTACCTTTAGAAGCATGTGTGACTTCATCTAAAAGCAGCTTTTGCTACTACAGGTTCTTGAAGGAAAAGTATCCAAAAGTCTGGTTCAATGTTGGGTCCTCAAAAAACATTTCAGCGAGCTTTCTTACACTCCCCAGACATCCTGGGACTGTGAACCGGGACTGCTAACAATGACACCAATGCCAGCAACAAGCACCGAGTCTACTCATCTACACTAGGGACGGGGAACAACTCACACGCCAGGAATCTGTGCTGGTGTGTTTATTGTGGCCTCGAAGCAGCATCCGTGTGTATGCCCATCCTTCCAGACTGGGCTATGAACCACCAGGCCCAGGACTCCCCATTCCACACACTCGAACCACTCAGTATGACAAGCACATACCTGGATTACTCTAGAGGAATGCTCTCCAAAGTGGGGCAGCCCCTGCAGCTGGCTCAGGGATGTGACAGGGCAGGGAAGGGACTTGAGCACCGAGGCTGCTCTGTAGAAGGAGAGAAGGCGGCCCTCATTGCCTTCAAAACCTGCAGCCTCTGCCAGGATCTCCAGAGCCTCCTGCGGGGAGGGCCCTTGGTTAAGATACAAGGTGGACATGAGACCTTGCCTCAACATTTTAGCTACCAACCAGCTACACCCACATCCCCTCTCTCTGGGTGGGCATCTGCTCATAGATGCAGCTTACTGAGAGGGTAACGTTGTGGTGTGTGAGTGGGGTGGGTCGCTGACAGGCATAAGCTGGCATCATCACTGAGCTTGGGGGCTCCTTCTTGGGTTGAGTTACCTGCAAAAGGGTAAGGCACAGGTCATCATGAAGCTGCAGGACTGGCATGTACTCTATGTAGGTGGGCTGGGGACTGAGGTCTCAAAAGGGAGGGAGCTTGCCTCCTGTCTCCTAGCAGCCTGGCTCTGGAGCATCTCAAGGACGGGCCCCTGACAACTCAGTCCATCCCAAGTACTAAGGAAGAAACACCTAAATATACTAGAAGTAAGCAGGTCCCACGTGGTTAGGACAGAGGTAGGATGGTTTAGCCCCAAAATCCCTGCTGAGGCCTCTCCTGGCTTCTCAGGGTCCTCTACAGTCCTGGGAGAACCCTCACTCCCCACCTCCTCCTAAGGACACTGAGGCACTGCTATTGTGTTATCTGTCCCAGCTGAGCTAGTCCTTCACTAGCTCACCTCCAAGCGGTGCCGGGGCTCCTCAGGGACAGGCTGCCCAGCGGCCATGCTCTCTGTAAACCAGCTGATGTCCAGCAGAACTGGCTGGGGGCAACCTGGGAGATGAGCATCCATGTTCTTCTGCCAGCAGATGGCCTCCTTGGCTGAAGTCTGCTCCATGACCACATGTGTCACCTCTGAGCTGGGGTGGGGGGGAGGAGGAGAATGAAACCCAGGGCCCCTGCTGTTCTACCCCACCAAAACCTTTGCTCTTGCAGGGCCCTCTGCATGGTGACTGCCCTGCATTCTTCAAATGTCCCTTCTTCTGGAAAGCCTTGCCAGCCCCTCCTAATGGAGGGACAGCTCTCCACTCTTCCACCTGACCCTTGGTGCAGCCACTCTCACAAGCCAGGCTGACTTGTTGTCTGCCACCCTCTGCCACAGGGCAAGGGGTGCAGCAGGGGCCAGGGTCAGGTGGTTCTGATCTCAGTGCTAACTGTTGTTTGGAGACTTGCTATGTAGGACATGCCGGCCTGAACTCTAGCACCCTTGCACTAGGATGCCAGGCAGGCATCCCACTCTGCTAAGATTTAAATCCAGACGCAAGAGTCTTTGCTTATTTGTTCAAACCTCAGTAGGCAACCTCTTGCTACATGCCCCATGTTCTCTGTGTATCCTTTACATTGGAGGAATTCAATGCAAACTATCTTGTAAAAAATGTAGAGTCGCGTGCAATCTTAAATTGTTTTCTCCACTCGTGAGTCTGGGGCACTACTAGTCTCTTAGGAATGTTTCATTATGGGGGAGGGGGATGCAAACAAGCTAGCCAGCCAGAGGACACAGGCTCCAAGTTCCATTATCCTCAATCACAAAGTTACTCTATTGCCCTGGGCATGTTCTCTCTCTACGGGAGCTGGTTGGTTACTCGGCAAACTCAGGACATCCTAGCACCACTGGCTCACTGGGAGGGAGAGCAGCTATCAAATATGGCTAACTATTTTTCCTTGTATGGCTCTTTAAGAAGCCTCTGGCTTGATGGCACCCTTTCAAAGTGAGGAACTCGAGTTGGAGGAAGGTACCCGCAACCGCGAAGTGCCAGGGTTGGCTTAGAATGCAAAGCCGCAAGTGCTTAGAACCATCTCCCGCTTTGGGCCACGGCGGGTCCATACGCTGGGGTGACCGGCTTACACCAGCACCCCCGCAAGCCTGGCATCCCACCAACACCGGGCTCTCGCAGGAGCTGCACACCTGTAGGTATCTAGGATGCGGAAGCCTTTGGACCGCGCTAGGCGCGTGAGGAAGGCCCGGCGGCTGCGGCCCATGCGCGGTTCCGCCAGGTAAATGGCCACCCCCGGGAAGCGCGCCGGCGGCGGCGGCGGCGCGGAGGAAGCAACAATGCAGCGTGGTGACTCAGCCCGCACTCGCCGCCGCTTGGGAAGCATCTGGACACGGAACTCTGGAGACACGGAAGGCCGCAGAGGAAGCCAAAGTCAGGAAAGAAGGCGGAAGGACCGCGAGGAAGCTTGCAGCGAGAGGAAGTGCTATCTGCTCCACTGAGGCGAGTGGGGTGGGTGGAGGGCTCTATGCAAATGAGGCGCGCTCTGGGAAGGTTGGGGCTCCCTCCTGAGGCCCCACCTCTATGCAAATAATGACTCCTCGGCTACTGGACCCACTCTCGGGGAAAGCACCCTTGAATCTGCAGATCTTAGAGGCGAGGGCGTGGGTCCGTGGGCGGAGCTTCGCCTTGGACTGGGCCGACCTTGTTCTTCCCTCGGGGACCGGGTCTTCGCCAACCCTTTCCTTTACACCCCCGCTCCCCAAAGGAGGTGTTTCGGCTTACCCTGGTCCAGCTGCCAATGCTGATGACGCGGCGCCTGTGCCGCAAAGGAGAGCAGATGTGTAGTCTGCGAGTGAGCTGCTGGAGTGTGAAAGTTCCAATCTAACGGCATTGAGACAGCTGGCCCTTCATTTGGGAAGACAGAAATTGCTCCCTCCCCCACTGCTTTACAGCAAGTAAATCCCAAATGGATCAAACATTTAAATCTGAAAAGAAACCAAAACTGTACTGGCAGAAACTCCACTTTTCTATTTTCAAAAAAAAATTTATTAATTTTATCTTTATTTTATGTGTATACGTGTTTTGCTTACATGTGTGGCTGGCTATACTCCGCGTGGATGCCTGGTGCGTGCTGAGTTAGAAGTGTCAAATCCCTGGAACCGATGAGCAATGGCCCCCATGAATGCTGGGAACCTAACTGGGGTCCTCTGCAAGAGCAACAAGTGGTTCTTAACCGCTAAGCTGTTTCTCTGGTCCCTTAACATTTTTTTTTTTTAAAGAAAAGATTTATGTCCTTGGCTGTTTTGCCTGAATGCATGTATGTGTACCACATGTATGCCTGTAAAAAACCAGCCTTCCTCCATCTTAGGTTTAAAAGCCATCTTATAGTAAAAAGACAAACTAGGTCCATTCCTGTTCATGATTAAACCTCTGTTCCTCAAGGATTGAGTTATGCCCCACTTGTAATCTTAACTACAAATTGCTCTGTACTTGCCTGCTCCAGGAATGGCAATGATGTCTTTGTTTCAAAAAGTTGTTTATAACATCTTACAGCTCCACCTTGGTTTCAAAAGGTTAAATGACCACCTGTCGTGATGATCTTGTTTTGACCACCTGTTATGTTCTGCTCCTATAAGCCCACCTGTTTTGCCTATCAAACCCCCCATTTGGAAAACCCTTACCCATGAGCCATAAAAGCCTTGTCTTCCTCACATCCCATGCTGACCTCTGGAACCCCACCTTAGAGGGAGGCAACCTCCCTCATGAGTAAAAATGCTTGCTTTAATTAATTTGGCCATGATGGTCGGTGGTGGTTGGGATTAACACCTGGTACCGGTGGAAATTTGAAGAGAGTGCCAGATGGAGTTAGGGAGTGGTTGGGAACTGAACTCAGGCCCTCTGCAAGACCAGCAAGTGATCTCTAACTACTGAGCTGTCTTTCCAGCCCCACTGGGATATTTTTGTGATCTAAGTAGCACAACCAACTTGGTAATACTGTAGGGAAAGAATGGCAAGTGGAACCAAATATAAATTTAAAATTTGGCCTGGCAAGGTGACATTTCCAGTTCAAGAGTAGTTTGACTTAGCGGTGGGTTGTGAATACTGAGTGTGCTATATGTAACTGTGTGCCTATTTGAGTCCCAGAGCAGACTAAAGAACAGGTTTGTAATCCTCCTAGGACAGGTGGAGAGGGGAAGAGATCTCTCCTGGAATGCCATTTGAGACTACTCAGGTACTGGAAGTAGCTTTTGCAGGAGGGCTAGCAGTAGGAAACATAGTTATGGGATAGGTCTTGGACCCAGTGTGACTGAGATGTGCTTGAATGGAGTTACCTTTGTTGGAGAGTAGTCCTTGAACTATAGTAAAGAATCCACCGAACAGAGACTTAAGATTTATTGTGTGTGTGTGTGTGTGTGTGTGTGTGTGTGTGTTGAGAGATGGCTCAGTGGTTAAGAGCACTAGTCATTCTTCCAGAGGTCCTGAGTTCAATTCTCAGCAATGTGGAGGTTCACAAGCATCTGTAATGAGATCTGGTGCCCTCTTCTGGCCTGCAGGCACGTGTACAGACAATGTAAGGATTCAGAGATTATGCTGGTCTGCCCCTGTCACCTGGCAAAATGCGCTCAGGTAGGACCCTGGTCAGCCCAGGGTTCCATGGCTAAGTAGTCTGCATGCAGGTGCAAAGGACCTCTTTAAAAGAAAGACCCTGCTCATTTACGCCCTTTCTGCTCTCTGTTTCCCTCTGTGCCCCTGGGGCAGACAGGACTTTTCCTGTCTCTTCTCTTCTGTCCTCTCTGTCTCTGTGTCTCTTTACCTTTCTTCTCTTTCCTTCCCCTTTCTAATAAAACTTCTCACTTAAGCTCTGTCTGCCTGGCATGTTTGTCCCTCCACCTCGATCACCCTTGTGCCATAGAATCTGCCAAGGTCCTCCTCTCAATTTATCAGACAGAACACACAAGTGTGTGTGTGTGTGTGTGTGTGTGTGTGTGTGTTTTAAAAGATTCATATATGGAAATGGCATTAGGTTTCATTCCTCAATTGACTTAGTCACCACACACAATTCCACTGTAGGAAGGCGGTGAAGAGTGGGTCTGAGAAGGGAAGACCTGCCTTAGGGACACTAGGGAGGCATGTCACCTCCTCTGTATATATCCAGTACTAGGTGGCCTTAAGATAAAAGGGATGTGTAGTATAATAGCCTGAACGAGTCTAAAGAACATTAAATGCTAAGTAGAAAAATCATGCCATGTAGTCTCCCTCTGCCTACATATATAATCTACCCCAGGAACCTGGCCCATAGAAGTTCTGTAACTGGAGAGCAGTGGCTCTCAGGAGGCAAGCCTAGGCAGACAGCAGAGACCTGACATGGGTGTGGAGAGTTTCAGGCCTTCCTTTCCTTGAACCCCCAGGCTTCTCTTGTGCCTCTCTGGAAACAGTGACATCTGACTGGTTTTGGTGGTCTGTTCCAGTAAAGTTATAGTCCAGGGGTTCCCATCTATGTCTCAAGCCTCCTACTCCCCTCTCTGGGACCTCTACAAAGTCAGAGAGCCTCGTAGACTACCTCATGGCTGAGCTCTTCAGGGCCCTGAGGCTTGTTATCCCCTCCCCCCAGGCGCTCTAGCCTGGCTATTCCTGCCCATCTCAAACTCATGTTTGGATTACTTTTGCCCAGATGTATGAACTTGTGTTTTTCCAAGATGAATATCCTGCTCCAACCTCTAGCTCTGGAAGACCTTGGCGGTGTTGGGGGAGGGGGGCACAAACTCTCTGTCCTCACAGCCTTTCCTAAGCGGCACAACTCTCACTACAACTCAGCCCCTCACTGACACACCAGCAAATGTCTTCAGGTTCACCTTGGTGTCTTTTACACCTGTGTGTGGCTTGTTAGTTTGAGATTTGAGGGGCCGGTAGTCAGCCGTGCTCCGGTACTTGCCCTTTCTATCTTAAGCCCTTTGCCAGCTGTACTTGGAAGTCCTGTAGTTAAACTCCTAATGCTGCTGGCCCCGGGCGCCCGGGAATTGTTGGTTCTTGGTGAACACTGGCCTGGACCTGCAAGTGCTCTGACACATTGTAGTCATTAATCTCTGGTGTGCCTGACCCATGACTGCTATAAAAAATTGTCACAAGTCGGGCAGCTTGCACCAATGGAAGCATACTCTCTCCTAATTCTCAAGGCCAGAAGTAAAACCAAACAAAACAAAAACCCCCAGGTGTCAGCAGGGTAGCTGAGGTCCCTGCCGTGGTGGCTGAACTGGTCTCTCCTGAGCTTGTCTGACTGTGTGTCTTCTTTCCTTAGAGTGGCACTGGTTAAGAGACGTCGCTCTAATTTAGGAGCACATTATCCCAAGGTTCTTATCCTAATTATATCAGCAAAGGGCTCTTATTCCAAAAATGGTCTGGAAGGACATGGATTGAGGGGGATGGGGGACTTCCTGGGTCTAGCTTCATCACCTTCTCTGACTTTTGTAGACCTGTCAGAATCTCAAGACTTGGGAAATTTTAGTTTTTGAGGCAGGTTTCACAATGTAGCTCACACTGTCCTCAGACTTCTAATACCTCTGCCTCAGCTCCCTCCTTGCTGGGATTATGGGTGTGTGCCACCATGTCTGGCTTAGATTTGGATTTTTGGCATTAAATGTACTAGTCCTGGGGCTCTGGCTAGGGCTTGCCAGGATTTTGCTGATTGTGTAACAAATATAGAGGCTTTATTTTTGAGAAACAGTTGCTGCCTTTTAAGGAAGGGCTGTGTCTCCACGTCTGGTCAGTCACCACACACAAGAACCGGTGGACAACAGGAGGTCCAGGATGGGATCCCATTGGAATATAGGGGCTGGGGAGAAATCAAGAAACACTGGGACCCCGATCTCCTTTCTGCATGGGACTTGGACAGAGGATTGTAGCAAAGGGATTATCCTTCAAATGAAGGCACACTGGGGTTATTTGTCTAACCAACTCAGGCATAACTGCCAATGAGGGAGTGCCTTGGCGGGGGAGGGGGTGGGGGTGAGCGGGGGGTGGGGGAGGGGGGCAGAAGGAGAAAAAAACAGGGTGCTTGCAGTTACACTGTAAATTAAAAATCCAAAGGTGGCCAGGTGTGGTGGCAGATGGCTTTAATCCTAACACTCAGGAGGCAGAGGTATGTGTGTGTCTCTATGAGTTTGAGGATAACCAGGTCTATGTAGAGAGTTCCAGTCTAGCCAAGGCTGCACAGTGAGACTGCCTCAAACAAAGAAAATCCAAAGATGATTTCATCCTGCTACTGCAGGAGCTATCACCATTACATTTTTTAGTTATTTTCTCATTTACTGTGATTACTATGAAATAAAACACAGATACAAATAGTGAGGAAGGTCCCTGCTTTATTGACATGGAGCTAGAAAATCTTGCTATCTTTCCTGGTTTCTGACTTATGGTGTGGATAAATAGAAAGTCCCGAGAGGCTGAGAGGGAGTCAACAAGCAACCCCTGAGTAACATCAAGCCAAGATCAAGG